ATTGTCCACATGCTTGTGGATTTCAGTGGTTTCTCTGTGTAGTTTGACACCTTGATTGTTCGAGTGGTCCAGCATTTCTGCGTTCTCAAATAATATGCTGTGTCCAGGTTGGTTCATCGGGTGTTTTGCTGACTGACTTCTCTGGTTGAAGTAATCTGCAGTGCCTCTCATTCGTGTTTGGGCAATGTTGCTGCGTTTGGTGGTCCCTACCATGTCAGACTACACAGAGAAGCCATTGAAATCCACAAGCACGTGGACAATTTCAACAGACGTCTCCCATTCATAGGACCATCATAAGTTGATGTTGACTTGACAGTAGTTAACAGCAACTACAAATCATGGATGGTGCTTAATTTGTTGTGTGTAATGACATCAACTCCCACAATTCCTAACAACAGACATAGACAGGAACCTTTATATGCATTATTATACATCTGCATGTGACACACACACACTCACACATATAAGCAGAAACATACCAACAGGACTGTGTGTACAAATACAAACAGAGCTGATATATATCTATATAAATAAAAATGTAATGTTCGTTTGTGGGATTAACATAACTCAAAAACCGAATTGACAACAAATTTGGACACAACACACCTATCAGGCCAACAAATGACCATCACTCATAAAAACACTGAAAAACACAGCAGAAGAGACTTAAAAAGCAAAAAAAAAACTTATAAAAAATACATTACAACGCATGCACAAAACCATATACACACACACACACACACATATACACATAAACACATACATATACTGGGCCACAGCAACGTGTGGCAGGGGACAGCTAGTCTATATATATATATAGAGAGAGAGAGAGAGAGAGAGAGAGAGATCTCCACATACACTTATTATATACTAGTCGTCCCCTGCCACGCGTTTGGCCCAACTCTATCCTTGGTGGGGTTCAAATGTGCTTTGATGGTAGGGGAACCATAAATCCCAGCAACTACAACTCCCAAATCTCAAGGTCTATTTTCCCCAAACTCCACCAGAGTTCACATTTAGGCATATTGAGTCTTCATGCCAAGTTTGGTCCAGCTCCATCATTGTTGGAGTCCATGGGGCTCTCCTGATGTAGGTGAACTACAACTCCAAAACCAAAGGACACTGCCCACCAAACCCTTCCAGTATTTTCTGTTGGTCATGGGAGAACTGTGTGCCAAGTTTGGTTCAATTCCATCCTTGGCGGGGTTCAGAATGCTCTTTGATTATAGGTGAACTATAAATCCCAGCAACTACAACTCCCAAATGACAAAATCAATTTTTTGACTGAAGGACATACATTGGGTTGTTAGGTGTATTGTGTCCAAATTTGGTGTCAATTCGTCCACTGGTTTTTGAGTTCTGTTAATCCCACAAACAAACATTACGTTTTTATTTATATAGATTTGTATACAGACATTTATATACATATATTGATCTACACAAGACCTTAATAATGTGCATATTATTAAGGTCCTGTGCACACTTGTAAATGACCTATTAGGTGTGTGTGTGTGTACATACACGTGCGCGCACACATATATACATACATATACAAATACATACATGCATACAAACACACGCAGCACACACAAGACAAGGACGCTAATATTATGTGTGTATGTGTGTATATATATATATATAGATAGATAGATACTTTATATACCGGAACAATGGCTTCAAACTACAAGAGAGGAGATTCCATCCTGACTGTGAGAGCCTTTCAGCAGTGGAACTCTCTGCCCCAGAGTGTGGTGGAGGCTCCTTCTTTGGAAGCTTTTAAACAGAGGCTGGATGGCCATCTGTCAGGGGTGCTTTGAATGCAATATTCCTGATTCTTGGCAGGGGGTTGGACTGGATGGCCCATGAGGTCTCTTCCAACTCTTTGATTCTATGATCCCACAACCTCTTAGGATGCCTGCCTTAGATGTGGGCGAAACGTCAGAAGAGAATGCTTCCGGAACATGGCCAGACAGCTGGAAAAACTTGCAGCAACCCACTCAATTTCATCTTTAGCAATTGCAAGAAGGCAAAATTAGTTGTTTGCTAATCACCTCTACATAGCTATCTGTATCTTTCTGTTTATAGATCTACCTAAGTGGGTGTTTAGACCAGGCATGGGCAATCTTGGGCCCTCTAGGTGTTTTGGACTTCAACTCCCACAATTCCTAACAATTTGCTTTAGTGTAGATGCAATCAATTCCTAGTCTAGGTGGGACTTCAGGAGCAGAACCTAATACTAAAGCAGCAGCAGAAGGAGGGAGACCCTGCAGAAGGAGCACGCGGGAGAACAACCATCCGGGGCCGCGCATGCGCGCACTCGCTTCCCTCGGACTGGCTTCCCTCTGCGCCTCGCGCGTTCCACCCAAGCCCCGCCCCCTCGTGCGCCTTGACGAGCAGGCGCCTCCGGCCAATCCTAACGCAGCGGCCTCTTCAGAACCTTTATTACCACCCCGCCCCTTTCTGAGACTCCGCCCCTCTTTCTTTGTATCAAACATCCGGGTCTTTCCCACTGAGAGGTATATGTGTGTGTGTATATATATATACACACACACATAAATATATAAACACACAGAGATACACATAGGGTTTCTCCGAAGGTTTACACCCTAAATCTTCCCTAAAATATAGCTTATAATTCTGTATTTATTATTATTATTATTGCAATTTCTCCTATGGAATATGTATACACCCTTAACAGGATGGAACAGTCCAGTAATAGAGAAGAGGATCCCCCAAAATATATTATTATTATAAAAAAAATATTAAATATTTATACACTATTTAACAGCTCATAGTAATTCTGGTGAGATATATAATGGGTGTGTGTAATATATATATAGGGAGATAGATATTGAGGTCCTTTTCGTGTGTGTGTGTGTGTATATATATATATATATATACACACACACATATATATATTAGCACCCTTGTGTGTGCTGTGTGTGTTTGTATGCATGTATGTGCTTGTATGTGTATGTATATATGTGTGTGTATATATATATATATATACACACACACACACACACACACACACACACACACTCACACACCCCTAATAGGTCCTTTTTCAGTGTGCTTTTATATATATATATATATATATATATACACATATTATCTAGGTCAGTGGTGCTCAACCTGTGGGTCCCCAGATGGTTTGGCCTTCAACTCCCAGGAATCCTAACTACTGGTAATCTGGCTGGGATGTCTGGGAGTTGTAGACCAAAACACCTGGGGACCCACAGGTTGAGAACCACTGCCCTATGGGAACAGGGGTCTTATTCTATGAGATAATGCTGCTCTTCTTTGATGCAATTCAATCACATGTTGTGTGGGGTTCAGGGGTCTGGGGGTTGCAAGGGGGTGTCAGAGGGGTTGCCAAAGATCATCAGAAAACACAGTATTTTCTGTTATCATGTATAATCATATAGGTATGTGTGTGTGTGTGTGGTGTGTATATATTATATATATATATATATGTGTATATATATATATATATATATATTGGTCCTGTTTGTGTGTGTCGGTATATATGTGTGTGTGTGTGCATGTGTGCGTACGCCTGTATACCTATTCAAGTGTACGTGTATATACACACACACACACATATATATATTAAGGTCCTGTGTGGATCAATATGTGTATATAAATGTATACAAATATATAATATGTGTGTGGGGATCTAGCTATATATATATTGGCCCTGTTTGTGTGTGTGTGTGTGTGTGTGTGTGTATATATATATTGTATGTGTGTGTGTATATAGTATATAGTATATATATATATATATATATATATATATATGTCCTGTTTGTGTGTGTCGGTATATATGTGTGTGTGTGCATGTGTGCGTGCGCCTGTATACCTATTCAAGTGTACGTGTATACACACACACACACACACACACACGTGTATGCATGCATATATATATATATATATATATATATATATATATATCTCCTGTGTGGATCAATATGTGTATATAAATGTCTGTATACAAATATATAATATGTGTGTGTGTGGAGATCTATTTGTCTATCTATCTATCTATCTATCTATCTATCTATCTATATATCAGCCCTATTTGTGGGTTGTTGTAGGTTTTTTCGGGCTATATGGCCATGGTCTAGAGGCATTCTCTCCTGACGTTTTGCCTTCATCTATGGCAAGAATCCTCAGAGATAGTGAAGTCTGTTGGAACTAGGAAAAAGGGTTTATATATCTGTGGAATGACCAGGGTGGGACAAAGGACTCTTGTCTGCTGGAGCTAGGTGTGAATGTTTCAACTGACCACCTTGATTAGCATTTGATGGCCTGGCAGTGCCTGGGGCAATCTTTTGTTGAGAGGTGATTAGATGTCCCTGATTGTTTCCTCTCTGTTGTTTTGCTGTTGTAATTTTAGAGGTTTTTAATACTGGTAGCCAGATTTTGTTCATTTTTATCTATATAAATAGATACAGATAGTGTGTGTGTGTGTGTATGTATATATATATATATACACACACACAGCAAACTTTTGTTGAGAGGTGATTAGATGTCCTTGTTTGTTTCCTCTCTGTTGCTGTGCTGTTGTAATTTTAGAGTTTTTTATATTTATATATTTTATATATATTTATCTATATAAATAGATACAGATAGTGTGTGTGTGTGTATGTATATATGTGTGTGTATATATATATATATATATACACACACACACACACACAGGGAGAGAGAGAGAGAGATACTATGTAAACATTCCCTCCTTCCTTTCAAGGGGAGGGGAAAACAAGAGGAGGAGGAGGAGGAAGAAGAAGGAGCAACCTCAGCCTGGGAGCGCGCGCGCGTGCACGCGAAGGGAAGGAGGGAAGGAGGGGGATCCTGGAGGAGGGGCGCGAGGCTGAGCCTTTTTTTTTCCCCTGTGGGAGGAGGTGGGGCGCAGGCTCCATGTTCTCCCCCCATGCTCCCCCCTTCCCCCCCCCCCCGCGCGCGCTCCCGCTTCTCCCCCTCCTCTTCCTCCTCCTCCTCCTCCCAGCCGCGCGCCCCCCTTTCGCCCCCCGAGCGCCAAAGCCAAGCGAGCGATGCCTCTGAGCGGACCGGCAGCCTTCCTCTCCTCCTTCTTCCTCCTCTTCTTCCTCGCCCTCCTCTCCAGAAGGAACAGGAGCCACAATAGCAGCAGCAGCAGGAGCAGGAGCAGCAAGAGCAGCAGAGGCACCGGCTTGGCGCTTCCCTCCTCGCCTTTGGCTCTCGCCTTGTTCAGAACCACCATTGGAGCGGACGGCAGCGGCGCCGGGTCTCCTCCTCAACCTCCTCCTCTTCGTCGCCTTGCTTCAGCCCTGGATCTCCCTTTCTGCAAAGTTTGCTTCTCCATTGCCTTCTCCTCCTTCTCTTCTTCTCCTTCTTCCTTGCGGCCGGATTTACTGCGTTGATTCCCCATCCTTGGAAGGATTCCTCTCTTTACCTCCAAAAGGAAAGAAGGAAGGAGAAAGCAACACAGTCCAGACTCTCACGCTCGGGTTGGACTATTCTTTCCCCCCCTTTTTGAGGATTTAAAAAAGACTCTTCTCTCCCCTTCTTGGACCTGGACACAGCCAGGAAAGGATTTAGTCTCAAATAGACTATTATTATTGAAAAGGAACCTTTGGATATTTTTCCCCTGACACATATATTGATAACTCTGTATCTGTTTGGAAGAGGATCTTGCCGTTCTTGGAGAGTTTGCTTGCCTTCTCCTCCTCCTCCTCCCCTTGAAAGCGGAGTAAACAAGCACCACGAGGAGAAAAAGGAATATGAGGGTGCCGTGGCTCACTTTCGCCTTCCTTTGGGGGACTTTGTGTACAAGTAAGTCATGGGAAAGCAGGGGAAAAGAAAGAGAGAAAGGGAAGGAGAGAAAAGAAAGGAAAGAAGGATGAGAAAGAAAGAGGGAGGGAGAGATCTTCCTGGTGTTGCGGTGCATCATTCCCTTTTTGGGAAAGGCTACTTGAATAATAATAATAATAATAATAATATATTTATCTATATCTAAAGAAAAGGGCTTGTTGTTGTTATTGTGGGTTGTTCCTTCTTGGAAGGAGAGCCTTGTTTGGTTGGAAAGTTCCTTTTAGGGGACTTTGTATACAAGTAAGTAATGGAAAAGAGGGGGAAGGTAAGGAAGAAAGAAAAGGAGAGAAAGAAGGAAGAGAGAGAGAGAAAGAGGGAGAGACCTTCCTGGTGTTGTGGTGCACAATTCCCCCTTTAGGAAAGGCTACTTTAATAATAATAATAATAATAATAATAATAATAAATCTATATATCTAAAGGAAAGGGCTTGTTGTGATTGTTGTTGTTGTGGGTTATTCCTTCTTGGGGTTGTTTTTGGAGGAGAGCCTTGTTTGGTTGGAAAGTTCCTTTTGGGGGACTTTGTATACAAGTAAGTAATGGAAAAGAGGGGGAAGGTAAGGAAAGAAGGGAGAGAAAGAAAGAGGGAGAGATCTTCATGGTGTTGTGGTGTATAATTCCCCCTTTAGGAAAGGTTACTTGAATAATAATTATCTATCTATGTATCTAAATCTAAAGGACTGTTGTTGTTGTGGGTTATTCCTTCTTGGGTTGTTTTGGGAGGAGAGCCTTGTTTGGTTGGAAAGTTCCTTTTGGGAGACTTTGTATACAAGTAAGTAATGGAAAAGAGGGGGAAAGGAAGGAAAGAAGGGAAAGAGAGAAAGAAAGAAAGAAAGAAAGAGGGAGAGATCTTTCTGGTGTTGTGATGCATAATTCCCCCTTTAGGAAAGGTTACTTGAATAATATATATGTATCTAAATCTGAAGGAAAAGGGGTTGTTGTTGTTGTGGGTTGTTTCTTCTTGTTTTCTGGAAGAAGAACCTTGTTTGCTTGGAAAGTTCCTTTTGGGGGACGTTGTATACAAGTAAGTAATGGAAAAGAGGGGGAAAGGAAGGAAGGAAGAGGAAAGAAGGGAAAGAGAGAAAGAAAGAGGGAGAGATCCTGGTGTTGTGGTGTATAATTCCCCCTTTAGGAAAGATTACTTGAATAATAATTATCTATCTATGTATCTAAATCTAAAGGAAAGGGGATTGTTGTTGTTGTTGTTGTGGGTTGTTTCTTCTTGTTTTCTGGAAGGAGAACCTTGTTTGGTTGGAAAGTTCCTTTGGGGGACTGTGTATAAGTAAGTAATGGAAAAGCAGAAGAATAGAAAGAAAGAAAGAGGAAAAAAGGGAAAGAGAGAAAGAAAAGGAAAGAGGGAAGAGAAAGAAAGAGGTAGAGATCTTCCTGGTGTTGTGGTGCATAATTCTCCCTTTAGGAAAGGCTACATGAATAATAATCATATATCTATATCTAAAGGAAAGGGGATTGTTGTTGTTGTTATTGTGGGTTGTTCCTTCTTGTTCTTTTGGAAGGAGACCCTTGTTTAGTTGGAAAGTTTGTGTACAAGTAAGCAATGGAAAAAAAGAGGGAAGGAAGTAAGAAAGAGGAAGGAAGAGAAAGAAAAGGAGAGAAAGAAGGAAGAGAGAGAAAGAGGGAGAGATCTTCCTGGTGTTGTGGTGCATAATTCTCCCATTGAATAATAATCATCTATCTATGTATCTATAGCTAAAGGAAAGGGTTTGTTGTTGTTGTGGGTTGTTTCTTCTTGGGGTTTTTTTTTTTGGAAGAAGAGCCTTGTTTGGTTGGAAAGTTTGTGTACAAGCAAGCAACGGAAAAGAGGGGGAAAGGAAGAAAGAAAGAAAGAGGAAAGAAGGGAAAGAGAGAAAGAAAAGAAGGGAAAGAGAGAAAGAGAGAAAGGGAGAGATCTTCCTGGTGTTGAGATGAATAATTCTCCTTCTAGGAAAGGCTACTTGAATAATAATCATATGCCTATCTGGAAAGGGATTGTTGTTGTTATTGTGGGTTGTACGTTATTGTTTTTTGGAATGAGAGCCTTGTTTGGTTGGAAAGTTTGTGTACAAGTAAGTAATGGAAAAGAGGGGGAAAGGAAGAAAGAAAGAGGAAGGAACGGAAAGAGAGAAAGAAAAGGAGAGAATGAAGGAAGAGAGAGAAAGAGGGAAAGATCTTCCTGGTGTTGTGGTACATAATTTCCCCTTTAAGAAAGCCTACTTGAATAATAATAATCTATCTATCTATCCAGACTTGAGAAGTGAATGGATGGATAAAGGTTTCAAAAAGATAAACACAAAACTTTGACCATTGTTATATTCTCTTTACTTTCTTTCTTTGCTGGTTTGAGTTGCAAACGCATGTGGTTGTTATTGTTATTATTGTGAGTTGTTCCTTGTTTTCTGGAAGGAGAGTCTTGTTTGGTTGGAAACATGGGCTGCCTTTGGAAACAAAGCTCATTCTGGGACCTGGATTGGGGGGAAAAAGAAAGAAAGGAGAGGCCTTTTGGGGCGGGGAGTGAAAACGTGGGCAGTTTTCTCCTCCTTGGCCTCCCCTGCCATGTGTTTTTCAACCCTCAATGGAGATCTTTGCTCTGGGAGAAGAAGGAAACAGCACACCAGCACAGAGCCATATCCAGGCTTTGCAAGGAAGGTGTTACTATATTTTAGCAACTTTTTTTGTTTGTTTTGAATCAGGAGCCTGGCAAAAAGCCTCCCTTTCCTTTCATCAGGTTCTCTTTCATTGTGGAAGTTCACTTTGGGGTAGAATTTGAACACAAAACAAGGCAAAGGATGGGTCTGAAATAGTCAAGAGGTGGAAGGGTTTCCATTGAAATCCACAAGCATGTGGACAATTTCAACAGAAAGGAGGAAAACCATGGAAAGGAACAAAATCTGGCTACCAGTATTATAAAAACTCTAAAATCGAATCAGTAAATAAAGAACAACACTCAAAAACAGGGGCATTCCATACAAGAAATGCTGCAGTTGATCACCTTGATTAGCATTGAACAGCATTGAATTAGCATTTAATGGTCTTGCAGCTTCAAGGCTTGGCTGCTTCCTGCCCAGGGGAATCCTTTGTTGGGAGGTGATTAGCTGGACAACACTCAAAAACAGGGAAATGCAAGAAACAACCAGGGCTAGCTAATCACCTCCCAACAAAGGATCCCCCAGGCAGGAAGCAGCCAGACCTTGAAGTTGCAAGACCATTAAATGCTAATCAAGGTGGCCAATTGCAACATTTGTACCTGCCTCAAACAGATAATAGTTCTGGGTTGTTGTAGGTTTTTTTGGGCTGTATGGCCATAGTCTAGAGGCATTTTCTCCTGACGTTTCGCCTGCATCTATGGCAAGCATCCTCCCACCCTGGACATTCCACATGAAGCAACCAGACCTTGAAGCTGCAAGACCATTAAATGCTAATCAGGTGGCCAATTGCAGCATTCCTACCTGCCTCAGACAGACAATAGTTCTGGGTTGTTGTAGGTTTTTTTGGGCTGTATGGCCATAGTCTAGAGGCATTCTCTCCTGATGTTTTGCCTGCATCTATGGCAAGCATCCTCCCACCCTGTCTCCCACCCAGGACATTCCACACACACACACATATAAAACCTCACGTGCCTAGTTTCCAACAGGTTTCACAACCTCTGAGGATGCCTGCCATAGATGTGGGTGAAACGTCAGGAGAGAATGCTTCTGGAACGTGGCTTTCCGTAAACCCTGGAAAACTCACAGCAACCTAGACTTTCCATTCATTTGGTGACTGATTTGCGGTTATTCCTCCTTCCAGGTTGGATCAGAGTGATTAGAATTCGGATTGTAAGTTTGTAGGGTTCCTCCTTCAGGTTTGTAGGGTTCCTCCTTCCAGTGCATTACTCTTAGTGTATTTATATTGGCCTAACTGAAGGCAGTGGCAATGCATCAGGGGTTAAATGAGCTGGTTTCCATTGCGAAAGGGAGAAAACGTGTGGCTTTTCTCTCTCTCTCTCTTGGTGTTATGAACCTTTAAACTTTCGCCCTTTCGAAAGCCTCCCAAGCTTTGTGGCAAAAGTAAACAGGAGTAGGAAGAGGCACTGGAAGGCAAGGCCTGGCTTGGAAAGTGACTTCCCCGGAGGAATGCCTGTGTGTTTATGGCCTGCTTGCCCCTGGCCCCAGGCTTCCCCACCCACCACCACAGGCAGACCCACCAACTCTCCCTTCCTTTTGTTCCAAGGGGAGGCTTCATGGCCATGCCTGCCAGCCTCAAAGGAAGGGTGTCTGGCTTTTTGAATGTGGGGTTTTTCTTTGGGTGGGTGGGTGGGAGCAGTGGGTGCGAAGGGAGGGAGGGAGGGAGGAGAGAGAGAAGGGGGAGAGCTGTGTCCATTGTCACCTCCTGCCGGGGATGCTTCACAGCCTGGGGCTGCCAGAAGCCTGGCCTCTTGTTATGGAAATAGGGCTTCATTGTGCCGTAAATCCCTTTCCCCCTCCTTCCCTCCCTGGAGGAGGTGGGGGCTGGGAAGGGCTCTGCTCTGTGTGTGTGTGTGTGTAGGGGGCTTTGCGCCCTGCCTCCCCCTCCCCTCCCTTTGTTGTCAGCGCCTTTCTCCACCTCCTTGTTTTGATGACTTGAGGAGCTGGGGAGGGGTCTGGAGAAAGAGAGAGAGAGAGAGAAAGGAGGGAGACAGAAGGGAGGGATGGAAGGAAAGGAAAGAGGGAGAAAGCAAGGAGGGAGGGATGGACGGAGGAAGGGAGGGAGGGAGGAGAAGCCAGAGACAGAAGGAAAGCAAAAGAGGGAGAAACCAGCAATGGATGGAAACAGGGAGAATGCAGGGATGGAGAGAACAGGGATGGAGAGGGGGATAGAAGGAAGGAAGGGGTGAACATGGAGAGAGAGAGAAACCAGGAATGGATGGGAAGAGGGAGAAAGCAGGGAGGGAGAGAATAGGGATGGAAGGAAGGAAGGAGTAAACAGAGAAAGAAACCAGGAATTGATGG